AGCACGATTTTGATATCATGACGGGGGCAGCGCTCGTACGTGCGCTCCAAGCGCTCATAGAANCTTGCCCACCCTGGCATTGAAGTCGCCAAGCACGATTTTGATATCATGACGGGACAGCGCTTGTACCTGCGCTCCAAGCGCCCATAGAAGAGATCCTTGGATGGATGGAGATGTTGAAGAGTTTCGCTTTGATGCGGATTGTGGCTAGACGCTCGTCCACCGGGGTGAACGACAGTACTCGGCGACGGAGTCTCTCTCCCACCANATGGAGATGTTGAAGAGTTTCGCTTTGATGCGGATTGTGGCTAGACGCTCGTCCACCGGGGTGAACGACAGTACTCGGCGACGAAGTCTCTCTCCCACCACAAATACAACTCCGAATTTGCGTTCCTTTACATGACAGCTGTAGTAGACGTCGCAAGGCCCCAGACCTTGCCTTGCCCCGTCCAACGCATTTCTTGGATGGTGATGTCAGTTTTTGTGCTCACGAGGACATCAACCAGCCGGGCAGAGGCACCTTCCCCATTAAGGGGGGTCCGGACATTCCAGGTGCATGCCCTCAAATCGTAGTCCTTTAAACGTTTGCCGTGGTCGTCATCATAAGGGGGGGTCTCGTCCGAGGCTTTGCCTTGCTTCTTCCCTGGAAGTGGTTTTTACGTGGCGGGTCCCAAACCCAGGTTAGAGGACGCAAGAGTCGGGATTCAGTATAGCATTGCAACTGTAACTGCATACCCAGCGCAACGACTATACCCCATTACACTCCTTCATTGAGTCAATTAACGTTTTATTTGAGCTACTCCTTTTGGTGGACGTTGGTAAGTCGCATTTTGAGACTTTCTTTTATATTATTTCTGAAAACATTATTATTGGTATATGTATGTATATAGATATATGTCTAAAGTTGTAAGGTTGGAAATGGTTTATTCGTAAGTAAATTTAATAACCAAATAGTAAAATGTAATGGGATAAGTCGTTAACTTAACATAACAGCCCTAAGAAGTACTACCTTTACTTGTATTCGGAGCTTCCACAGAAGATAACGACGAACTTTACTAACACTTTCAATCCTTCTGCCCAATCTTCATTATTGATAAAATTTTTTACCAATTCGAGTATTCGAAACATGTTTTGTTTTCTGCTTTTTAGTGTGTGAAAAATTATAAAAATAAAATTTCATTCACAATAAAGTGTTTTCTACTTCAACTATACATAACTAATTACCTGGCATTACCATCTCCTAACTCACTTTCTTTTAAAAGACTGTCCAAATCAATTGCCATTTCAAAATTCAAAACTTAGATTCGAGACTCGTAACCCCCAAAATACCCAGTTTTAAAAGTTCATGTTTTTCATTTTTCTTTTCGACAAATTTCATTCGCCATTTTAAATTTTTGAAATCAAATTTCAGATTCGTAATCAGCGACCTTAAAAACATATACATAGAAACAAAGTGGTGTCAAATTGTGTCAAGGCGTCTTTGAGCAAATTTGTAGTTTTGTCCTCTAGATTTGAATTTCAGACTATGCCGATCGCTTACAATAGGTTTGTCCCGCGGACACGATGTAAGCACATTATTTTTACATGTATAATGCGTTCTTCTATGTTTATGATAAAGTGCGATGCGATAGGTTGATTATATCAAAAATTTTGACATTTTTGCGCGCCTGTAAGCGGTACATTGTCCCGGTAAATAAGTGTAAGTGATCATTTTTTAACTTCGTCCAGTGTCAATAGATAACCACACAAAAGGCCAACGACGATAAAATAAGGTTATTTTTAAATTTTTTATTGCACAATGTTAACACTAGGGAGGCGTTGTCCCGCTAACTGGGTGTAAATGGTTGGTTTTCGCGATTTAGGTGAATAAACTGAAAATCTTAGCATAATTTTATTGACGATAAAATAAGTCACTAAAAACTGTCGCTAGCTCCCGGGCTATAATATGTTTAAAGAAATTTTCATCAAAGTTGATATACATATATGACATTTGACCAGTTTTGTTACAAAAATTGACACAGTTTGTCATTTTGTTTGCCTTATATACATTTTATCGGTGCACTTGCATAACATTCGCATTCGCAAAAGCTCCGCATTGATTATTTCGAATGCAACAACCCTGATACATACAGCAGCGACCGATAAAATAGTAGCAAAATTCAAAATGATGTTTGCAACTTATGCTTATTTATTTATTTTTTTTTAATTTCATTTAAAATGTAGTTTGATCTATAACAGAAACCACATAAATAAAAGCTTAAAGGTTTGCATAATGTTCACAAAAATTAATCAAATTTCAAAAAATTTTCATCAAAATTTCAAACTTTTTATTCATTCAATTTTATTGCCCTTGATTTTTTTAGAATTTTTTATTAATAGATTTTGTTCTTACACACGTTATATGGAAGAAAATGCTGAACACCCTCGACAAAAAAATTCTAAAAAATCAACGAAAATTTCTAGAACTCGCACTCTATTCTAAAATTGAATGGGCTACAACTGGATACTCAAAAATGGTCTAGAAATTCTGAATAAAAAGTTTGAAATTTTGATGAAAATTTTTTGAAGTTTGATTAATTTTTGCGAACTTTGTGCAAACCTTGAAACTTTTATTTATGTGATTTCTATTATAGATCGAACTATATTTTAAATGAGAATTGTAAAAAATAAATAAACATAATTTGTAATAACATGATTTTGAATTTTGCTACTATTTTATTGATCGCTGCTGCATATGCGATTTCATTTTGATTCATACAAAAAGGTACTATCATAGCCCAGGAATTTATTGATGGATTCATTAAAGATTGATTCATAATAATAAACTCACAACTTCTGTGTCACTTCCAGCTGTCCACTTCAGCTAAAGATTACGATTTAATAGTGCCGATTAATAGTAAAAAATTAAATGATATGTAATAATTCAAGATAGAATTATCGAAGAACATATGCCATTTTATCAGAACAAATTTGGCTGGCCAACCGTAAATGTTAAATATAATCCAGATGATAATGATGGAGAATAGGATTTCGTACCTTAAAAGTATTAAAACATGAAAAATGTAAACATGGACAATGTTAATAAGTAAAGCTCAATAGTAATATCCATAAAGATATGATTAATGTGATTATTTAGTTTAAATTTATTTACCACTTACCCTGATTCTTGCTAAAACAACATAAGTCTAGGACAGTTTCTAAGTTTTTTTCCATTGTTAATGGGCGCGTTCATAAGCCATAGCTGTTGCCTAACCGATGGCTGTTTGTCTTAGAAACGCTCAGTTGAGTAGTTCCGCTCAGCTCAACAGTTGATAACTTCCCGCCATTTTTTCCAGCGGAAAATTTTTACGCTACTTGAACTCAACGTGTTGAGCTTATCCTAAATAGCTGATCGAAAAGACTTACGCCGCTTATATTAAATTTAACGCCGCTTGTTAGGTGGCAGTTGCAAACAAATTTATTCTGTTTTATATTACTGATGTGATAAAGTAACTAAAACATTTTATAATAACACTACGTTTCTAAATATATGTTTTTTAAGATGTTTGCTATATAATTTTAACTATTTAATTCATTATAACATTGAAGGATTTTTTCTACACGGCGGCAGCTCAGTGTTGAATTCTAAATACTATCGGCGCAACTATCTTTATTTATTGCACTTTCATTTTTTTACATTTATCAGCTGTTCATTTGGCAGCATATTCGTCAAACCGTTTCTAAGACGTAATTGTTGGGTTCAACAGTTGCCAGCAGTTTCGTAGCAGATGAGCTAAACAGCTACGTCTTATGAACGCGCCCAATATTAATGAACTATAAACATTGCTCTAGATTTTAATCTCTTGAAACTCAAGTACTATATTCAGCTAAAAAAAACTGTTTGGTTGTAGGAGTATGACGATTTGTGGAACGATTTTCAGTCATCCCTTGTCAATTTCGGTTTGGAGATAAACCGGTTTCGGCGTTGTCCCATCGTCACTGTCATTTTCACTGAAGATGGCACAACGCCGAAACCGGTTTGTCTCCAAACCAAATTTGACAAGGGATGACAGAGAATCGTTCCACGTTTTCGTCGAAAATTACACTGAAGGTGGCACAACGCTGAAACCAGTTTGTCTCCAAACCAAATTTGACAAGGGATGACGGAAAATCCGTTTAAACCCAATTTTAATTGATTCCTGTACAATTGTAATTGTGTGACTTATGAGGTTTTTGAAATGACCGATTCATTTGTTTTTGTTCGGTTTTCAGTAACTAAGAAAAATAATATGTGAAGTTCAGAATTAAATCGAAATACTGAGTCAGAAAAATTTAAGAAAACAGTCGAAAAATTATCCAGTTCACAACAATTTTCGGCACTTTTCTAACACACGTTTCGGATGCACACTTTAGTGGGAAACCGAAAAACGACCGAAAATGGAATCAGAAAACTGATGAAATGTCAGATCTTTATAAAAAATTTTCTCCATTTTCTGATACGCTTCCGGACATTTCGCTGGCTGGGTAGCTCAAAATTATTGTTTTCAAATAAGATAATGATTTTCGGACGTTTTTCGGATACGAAAAATTAAGGTAAATCGCAATCGTGTTTTGTTCTTTTCCGGATACGAATACTGTACGAAAAACGGAAGTTTCTCTGGTGGCTGGGTAGTTTCAAGGCGAATTCATATAAGGTGGTAGCGCTAATACAAAAACAAAAAATTGCATGTATTTTCTTTTTGCTTAAGGTACACAAATGTCAAATTTCAGCCATTCTTCTCTCACTGCCTCACTTCGGCGAAATATAAAATTTTGAAGTTTGCATACCAAATCGGGTGATCGAGTAACACCACCTTATATGAATTTCTCTTGGGCAGTTTTGTTAATTACTGAAAAGATAAAAATAAAAATGTCTATGTATGAAAGCCATTAACCAAAAAATGTATTTATTTATTTATTATTATTATCAACAAACAGGACGCTTACAGGCTATATGACAAATGCATCAAAATAAATAAATAAATATTTTTTCTAAATATTTCCCGCATAGATGTTCCGATTATACTATCGTACGATATCACTGTGGACAAGTGTTTAAAAAGTGTATTTGGCTTACCAGATGTGGCTTCAATAATTGATCAGGTCAAAGAAATGATAATGCGCTATGGATCAGAAATTAGTTCAAAGGTATTTTACTTTCCATTTTAAATATTAGTTTAGGCTTAGTATAGCTTGTTACAGGACGTAGACATTCCCACAATAAATGATGAGTTTCCTTGGACTTTTTACGAGCTTTTAAAATTTTTTGCCGAGACGGTATCGTGGCCAGAGGATGTGGATATTCTAGTTTCCTCATCAAAAGTCATTGTGGACACTATAAATATATTGGCCGTAAGAAAGGATATGCTATGTATATAATGCACTATCTGATGACAACGTGCTTTATTACAGATAACTTTGGACACGCTTAAAGGTGAAGAAATTCCTCACAGTAGTATGTTATCGCCTATCACATCGAAAATAGTAAATAAAAAATTAGCATTATCAGACACCGACGATGAATTTGTAGCGAATATAAAGCAGACTATAAGTAGAGAGCTTCAGGACGTGTAAGTAATATTAAACGAAAACTAATTTCATAAGAGTGAAAATCTCTCAAGTGGGCCACCCAAATTTGGATAGTCCAGATTTTTTCGCACAAATCACTTTATTCGGTTTACAACCATAAAAACAATATAATTTGAGTAATTTTTCAAAATTCGAATTTTTGCAACAGTTATTATTATTAACTTTTTTTTATGAATTCAGAAATTATTTATTATCCACTGATTCATAGCAAGTATCTTGCTGATTTTTTTCACGATAATAGCACTGGTTTACAGCAAAAATGTTCTATGGATGCCACTATCCAATTCCTATGTAGAATTGCTCGGTGATTCCGAAAATCGAGTTAATTTTTTTTCTATGGATACGTTTTCAAGATATTTTCAATCTCCCGGTATTCAGCTTAAAGCAAAAATTTGTTCCTTTTAATCACGTATATCTTACAAACCAATTTAACAATCTTAATATAAAATACGGGAGATGAAAGCTAATGAAATTCTCCACAAACCATGTATACATCACTTTCCGATAGGACTGATAGTTTCTGACAAATTAATTAATCATTCCAGTTTTTTATTTTTTAATGAAAAAACGAAAAAAATCAAACTTTACCGGCAGAAAAATTAAAATAAGAACAGGTTCTGTGCCAAATTTTTGCATTTGTACTAAAGCCTGTTCTGTTGCAAAAAAAATCAAGTTACTGATGAAGAAAATCGGTGAATAAATAAGAAATAATGACTGGTCAAATGAAAATGTGAAATGGAAAAATGGAATGATTAATTATTTCTCAGAAACTATCAGTCCTATCGGAAAGTGATGTATATATGGAGAATTTCATTAGCTTTCATTTGCCATATTTTATATTGAGACTTTTAAATTGGTTCGTAAGATATACGTGATTAAAAGGAACCAATTTTTGCTTTAAGCTGAATAACGATAAATTGCAAATATTTCGAAAACGTATCCATAGAAAAACAAATTAACCCGATTTTCGGAATCACCGCGCAATTCTACACAGAAATTGGATAGTGGCGTCTGGAGAACAAAAACTTAACTAAAATTTGTGATCCAGTGTAGTTAAACAGACACGCTTTAGTCTGATTGTTTCAATTTTTCAAACAATCATTATTTTGTATACATTTTTGAATTTTTTAATTTTTTTTTTTTTTTTAAACAAATGGAAATATTTATTACTTCTCGATCAGATTTGTTAATGGTTTACATTGAATATCAATCCTTACTCTATAATACATTATTTAACACATTGCGTGCCAAGCCATTTTAGGTAATGCTTCAAAACGTTCAGAAAGAAATTCTTAGATATTTACTCTTTGGTTTTCTGACAATCAAATGCATGTTTACGTTGCGGTTAACGTCATTTAAATATAAATGACACGTGCCTTTTCGTGTAGGCCACGTCATTCATATGTGTATGACAGATATAATCAAGTATAACCCTATGTAATTCAAAAATTTATGCCACTATAAATAAACTTAAATAGCACTATAAACAGCTGTTGATTTTAGGATAATACTTGGTTTTGGAAAATCTGAATAGATATTACTGCTATCGAGGAATAAAAGTGAAGGTGCTGGCCCAATGTAGGCTTGCTTTGCTGGCCTTACTGACTTCATTTTGCTTAAATTTACTTGAAAAGCTTGTTTGGGCAAATGTAGCTTGGAACGCTGTCAAAGCAATCAGCTGTGTGGTTGCGAAATCAAAGTCTGTTCCATTAACATTACAAATTTCCTTCATGAACAACATGAATTAATAATAAAATTAATTAAAAAAAAAATAATAGGAACATCGTCTTAGCTTCTAATCTTTTCAGAATTATTTTGAAATTAATATGAATTAATTTTTTTTTGATTTCAAGGAAAAGATAATAATGAAATAATTATACCAGCTCATTTACATATAAAAAACTCTTAACTTATAAAGGCGCTTTTTCACGAAACTATTGATGAGTAGTAATTATTGCTTATTGCACGGCTTCTATAGCATATACATACGTTTAATACAAATATGGAAAGAGAATAATCACTTTTATTTAACGTTGAATTACTTACATTTTCGGCAACACTTTTTTAAATTAAGACATTTATTTACAAGTACATATGTATATATGTACATCCTTGCAGCATTTTTAGTTAAACAACATTTTATTTAAAAAAAGCCTTTAGCAATTTGCTTGAATTCATTTATCTCGAAAACATATCTCATTGTCAAAAGCCTGCAAAGCGTTGTCAAATAGAGATTTCGGCTATTTGAAACTTTGAAGCGCTTCAAGCAAGTGAAGTCAAGCTACCATTTGGCCAACTTTCATACATTTTAGTAGAGTTCAAAAACTGTTTGACAATTTTCAAAGCGAAGCAAGCAAAGCAAGCCTACATTGGGCCAATCCTTTTATTATATGAAATTTAAAGTTCTCTGATGAGTTTTATTTCAGTAAAAAGAACATAAATGTGAAAGCTCAATTAAAATAATTATGATAATTCATGGTACAATAATTACTGTAATTGTCTTCCCAGAGAGTTTTGCTTCACATCGAAATTCGTGCTCCCTTATTTTCAATGTTGATTCTTTTACTTTTATTTGGCTTGCTTTTTGTTTTCGCTCAATTTAATTTTTATAATTTTTCAAAACAAAAAAAAAAAATTTTTGGAAAAAAGTGAGCCATACAAATTTTGAATTTATTCACAAGCAAATGCTTTTTTACTGACTTTTGCAAATTGAATAAGGTCTCTGCAAGATGGTTTGTTTAAAAAAAATGTGTTAAAAGAAAAAAAAAAACACGGAGATGCTAGCTATTAATTTTTCTCGCTCCTGCCACGGGTGCTTTTGCTTTCATGCTGCGTGCCGCGCGGACTCGCAGCGAGCGTGGTGCAACCAGAGAACGCAAAAAAAAAATTAAATTTATTTATAAACGTGAGCATAGATTATTTAGTACAATATTTTTTAAAGTTGTGTACATAATGAGCTCATTTAAGAGTCCGATATGAGGGTGTTTCCCTTCCTCCGAAGGTCGACTTATATGAGCTTAAATTCATACATCAAATGAGCCTCATGAGTCATATTGAACTCTTTTAAAACAGTTTTTGGCCTCATATATGAATCATTTCAGACTCTTTTTGAGGCTCTTATCGGCCCCATAAATTACTACATTCGGACTTTTATTTTAGGTTGTTCTTTGAGTCTAATTGAACGCACTATATTTGCAAAGGCATGCAGCAAAAATTCCTTTCAAATAACATACATACATATTTACGTACATATACACATTTCAACATGCATTCAATAGTAGCAGCTGCAGCTAAATTCTGTTTAGTTTTTGTTTTCTAATTATTTTCAATTTCTGTATAAACAAGTTTAGATATAAATTTCAAATCTTTATTGTTTTTATATTGGCACAAGGTGCTGGCTCATAACTTGGATCATATATGAATCCTAAAAAATGCATATAGGATTAAATAATTTTTTGTTTTTTAAACTCATATTTCTTACGTACCTAGGACTCCTTTCGGACTCATATATTCTGAGCGCTCAGAATATGTACGTATGTATGTATTTTGTCTTTACAGAGAAAAATAAATAAAGAGGATAGATAGTAATTATCAGGGAACGGATTTTATGGAAATTGCCTTTTTTTCTGCTAAAGAGATAGAGTATATTCGATTAAGAATGTCCACGATTCTTTCTTTTCTACCTTTAAAAAAGTGATTATAGCATTTACAATTTTTTTTTTTNTTGATTGTTCTTCGTATTTTCTGTCTTTTTAGTGCCTTATTTGACTTTTTTTGCAATACATTTTTTTTTGCCTTTTCCTGCCTTTTTCGCTATTTTGTTTTGCCTTTTTTGCAATACCTAGTGCCTTTTCCTGCCTTTTTCGCTATTTTATTTTGCCTTTTCCAGCCTATTTCGTTACTTTATTTTGCCTTTTTTATAGGTTTTTAGGTCCTAAAAATCCGTTCCCTGGTAATTATAATCGTTTGCGTCGCAGAAACAAAAACAACTAAGCACTTTCTAACACCCCCAAAACAGTTTGCTACTTGTAGCAGATATGCTGTATACCTGAACAAAATATAATCCTTGGTGAAAAAATGTATTTGTGGATCATGATGCAATAATACAAGGTGTTATCGGTTGGCAACTTCTCGCTTTAATTCCGCCATATTGACTGCCTTAGGTGATACAGTGTTACTTCTTTAACAATTCTTTGCCTAATAATATAGTTGAATGTTTTTAAGTTTTTCTCAGTATACGCATTTTGTTTTCTTAAAAAGGTATTTTATCTTATTTTATTTCATTTCATTACGAATATACTATAAAAAAGCAAATTTTGTTTAGGAGAAAATGTGAAATTTTATACTTTTCCCCCATATGGGGATTAATTTCTTCCCGTTTTTTTTCTCAATCTACTGAGCTAAGGCAGTGTCAAATCGAGCTGTCACAACTGATACCACCTTGTATCATTGCATCATGTTTGTGGATTGTTGTTCAAGGACATACGTACATATATATGTATAGAACTCAATTCCATATTCTTTATTGCAAAATTTAATCAAATACAATTCTCTCAATACAACTGTGTTGCAACCAAAAAATATCTAATCAAATTGTGTATCTATCTTTCGCGTGAAGTTAGCTGACGTGCATCGGTTAAAATTTAAAATTGACGTTTCCTCATCTCGCTCAGTGTTGCCACCTGAGTGTATTACCGCGCCAGTGTAAGGGCTAGTCCCTACACCACCCCCTTTCCAGAAGAAGCGCCAAGAAAAGATAGTTCTTTCCATGTTCCAGATCTATTTATAGCTGCCAACTCATCTTTAGGAAAATACGCCGGTTTGAGACGATCAATAGATACTGTAACTTGCTTCGATCCGATGAGTATAGTGTACGTCCTCGGATGCCTGTGTACCACAAGATATGGTCCGTCATAAGGAGCCTTCAACGGTTTATGGATGGTGTCGTCCCGTAGAAATACGTGACTACAAAAACGCAAGTCCTTGGGCACGTAAACTGCAGGCCTTCC